GTAGGATTGAGTGTATACCAGATTGGCTGGTTACTTCTTTGCTTTTATTTACTACATATCTTTCATAATGCATATAAGGAATGGGATCAAGAAACATATTGAATTTGTTGTTAAATCTTCATAAGCTTGATGAGAAATATTGTGAAGCACATTTTCAGTGCCCACTAAGGAAACTGATCCACTTCAAAATGGAATTCTTACTGTTTTACAATGAATAACAAACTTTCTCAGGCTTTTCATGTTCAAATTTTTATTTCCATATAGTATATACATTTTCAATATTTTTGTTTTCAGATTATTGCTAATTTCATGTTTTCTTTATTACTTTTGTGGTTGTAGTGCTTGATGTTTTTGGAACTTCAGAAAATGTGGCACTGAATGGCTTTTCTCTCTCATATGGTATTTTACTACTTGCACTGTTTATGTCTGTCTCAAACACACGCATTTGGAATGGGCATCACAGGGAGCTACGGCATTTGTGAAAGAGGTCTCTTCTCTCATTTTTCCTTTTTAACTTCTTTTAACCTCATGCTAATTTTGCTATGTGGATAAAATGCTGAATCCTAGCCCAACTGCAGAACACAAACATTTAATTCTCAGAAGTGTGTGCACTTCTTATCCTTTGGCCCCTCTTAGGTTAAGGACTGACTTCTACTTGATATTCCGGTCTATGACCACTTTGTGGCCATTTGCACCCTCTGCTCTACAGTTACCAGGCCAGAAACTCTGTGCTGCGTCAGTGGTGGGGCTGTGAGTGGGAGCATATGTTCTTCGATGTTCCCAAGTTCCACTGTTAAATCATCTTTCTGGAGCCCACACAATCCATCACTTCTGTGATTTCCTCTCCAGATCCCCCTCTTGCTCCGACTATTGTCTCTGTCAGTTGCCCCTTGTCACTGCTGGCACCTGTAGTTGAGGGGGTACTGCCATCATTCTCAAGTCTCATGTGTTCAGTGACCACCCTGAGGAGTCATGCAGCTGGAGGACACCCACAAACCCTTCTCCGTGTCTCCTACCGGACCACTGCCACCGTTTCCATATAACCATCTTTTTTTGCACCCAATTTCAGAAAGGCACACAAGGATCATCTCTCTTTTACACAGTGGTGATGCCAGTGATGAATCCCTTATCTACAGCCTGACAAATAAGGAAGTCAAGAAACAACAAGATGACAAAGACACCTTTTCTCATTGAACGAATGTGATGTTAAAGATTTTAGTTGCTGCCAAACAATTTTTTCTTTGGAAATGAACTGTTTGCTTAGTTTATTTTATAGAAGCAACACTTGTTTACAATGCCATATATGATTGAGAGGTAGATTATCACAACCTTCAGGCATGTGTTACTAGACTACACCAATAAATAAGGCATCTATAATCACTAACCATTATCATTTAAAACCCTCTCAACTTTCATTGTGAATAAGTATTTTAGTGTTAGGCCCAATCGTTTATATTGTTATTGATTTTCTTGCTGATATAGATAAAACTTCAAAGATATCACTGAAGTCTCAGTCACAGAATATTGTCCTAGCTTGTGTGTAATTTTATGATTAAAGGTCTTATATCCAAGTCAATGAATATTTTAATAATTTATTATCATAATTATATCCATGCAGTTTATATTTTGGTTCACCTAATAATCTTCTCAAATTCAATTACTATGCAGTCTTTGGAGAATGGTGTTGTCAGTTCTGAGAATGTTATAGAAAAGACTTTAGTATGATTAAGAAAATGACAACTGAAATACGTTATCATATCACCTAGTAGAATTTTCTTTAAGTCAGTGATATCATGCTTCTAGTGTAAGGACAGGGGTTACAATTCTGGAAAGATAGTTGCCCCTATAGAGCATAAGAATTGAGATATTGAAATTTTAAGCTTTTCTAAACCCACAGGATAGCTAAGATCTCTAGGCAGCCAACACACAAGCACAGAGTTGCCACATAGAGTTCCCATGCATGAATCATGGAAGAAAATAAATTAAAAAGAAAACATTTAGTGTAAGAAATATTATATGTTGAGTGGAACTTCTCAACCTCAACAGTACTGATATTTTGCACTGGATACTTTTTGCTGTGGGACACTATCCAGTGCTTACAGTTTGTTCATTCCCTAGGGGCATTACAAATAGATGTCAGCAGTAGCCTTTGCACTTATGACAATCAGGATGGCCTCACGTACATGCGGAATATGGAAAACATACAAAGAGTCAGTCAAAACCAAACCGACCCTAATCAAAAACATCTGATTGTATAACTGAGGCAAGCATAGTGAAGGATTATGGGGTGGGAGTTTTGATGGAAGGCGCCAGTAGAACATGGTGGAAGATGGTGTGCACCAAGGGTGGGCAGTGTTGAATGTACACTTTTGCAGAAATCTGAACCATAACCCCTGGGGCAGGTACAATGATTTAAAACCCTTTTAATATCAATAAAGTTTAAGTTCAATAATAATAATAACTCATTTGTACTTTGGGGGTTATTATCATTTTATTTTCACACAGCAAGTCTCCATCTTCCTTAGATTGAATAGCTTAGGAGAAAAGGCAATGACTGGGATCAAATTAATGGCTTTTGAGACTAATTGCAGGAAGAAATTCAAGTCATAACATCCATTCTGAGCTGCTTGCTCTTTATCTCCTCCTCCATCTATTTAATTTGCTCATCTTGTACTGCAGAAAATTAACCCCTGTTCCTATATTCCTTTAAAAAATAGAATTATAGGGCCCTCCCTGGTGGCACAATGGGTTAGGATGCAGCCCAGCAAGTTGACCACAGCAGCTTCAGTGTGAGTTCGATCCTTTGCCCCAAGGTGATCCAAATGGTGCCACAGACCTCTCCTATCTCACCCTGCTCCCCTCAGCAGTGAACTTATAGATCTGTCTGTTCTTCTGCCCACTCTGTCTCAACTGAATCCTCTCACTGCTCCTGGACCGCTGGCCTGTACACCAACCAGTTCTGTATGCATAAATAAGTAAATCTTAAAAAAATAGAATTATATTTTTATCTGTTGGTTATGAAAATCAAATATGATGACTGTATAATATTGTAATGTTTAGATTAGATTCTAAAAAATAACAAGTACCCAATAAAGACAAACTCATCTATGGTTTTCTGACCACTGAGTTTATTTTCACCCTGGTATTTGAAAGAATTCTTGCGTGGCTATTGTCATTGTATCCTGCAAAAATTTAGATAACTTTGTAATGACATCAGTCATAAGAAACACTCATGTTATTTCTGAAAGTCACTATGAGGTATGGCTCACAGAGATGGTATCAGAATGTCTTGTATCATAATGTTCAATGAAATGTACACATAGTTATGTTTGATTCGAAATAACTGCTTTACAGATTCAAGGTATTAAAAATAAGGTGCATTCCACAGAGATTAATTATTGTTTGTGTTTTATATCACATGTAGTATTTATTTAATTTCAAAGTGTTTTTATTCCATAGAGAGTGAAGATGAATTTGAGACATGAGGGACCCAGTTCCCAAGAGCTGACACCACAATATTAGTCTGTGAGAGCATCAGCACATACCTCACATCCCAGCACCAGAGAAGAGATGTTTGTTGCTCAGGTTGGTTAGTCAGATCTGGGCTTATGTTACTTAAAAATGTAAGTGAATATTTTTCCTACAAAATAAACAAGTATTTTCAGATATGCCTAACTCATCTGTTTTCAAAATAGAGAATGCTTTTTACAGAATTCATATTCCCTTGCTTTACTGTTTAAAATGCCTTTGTCTTTTAGTATTTAGAAGTAGTTAAAATTTGGACAATTTCCTCTATGGTATCAAATTTTAACAATGATGTAAGAACAGTCTTTAATGCTTGATACTCTGTCTTTTTTCTCTCTCTTTTCTCTGGCTCTGGCTCTGTCTCTCTCTCTCTCTCTCTCATATACACACACACACACACCCACCCCTCTACTTTTCCACATTTTCCACTTGATTACTATCAGAGTATATAATGTGTATAAGCTCTATAAGTGTTGCTTTAATTCTGAGAGTTGAATTAAAAATCCCATCAGTTCATGGATAATTGGAAAATGTGAACTATTTCTGATTAGTAAATGATGTAAATTTTTGTATTTGTTGTGGGTTTACAATATAATGGTTTCTTACGATCATCCAAGATCATTATGAAGAACATAAATATTAGATATAATGCTGAAATAAGTCTCAAACACTGGCTTCACAATTTCATCAATTTAGTTAAGTAACTGCTATACAAGTTTACTAAGGATAAAGTCCTTCACAAAAGTATCATACAACTTTTACTGTTGTAAAGGTTAACATCTTAGATCTATGTTGCTATTTTTCTTTCAGAAAAAATTACATAGGAGTTGTATCTTTCTGCATTATTATTGGCACAAACTTTCTGCATCATTATTGACATTATTAATCACTAACATTACAATTGGCTTTGTTGATTTGGTGAGTGAAAATTAGGACAGTTTTCAATATGTATACTCATTGTGCACATTTTCAAATGGAAGTTGATATAAATGATTAATATTAAAGGAATTATTTGCATTTTCCCTGAAAGGTGTGATACAGGACCTGATCTGCTGAGGATTTATACAATTGAGACTAACTAGAAAGTTAGCGCATGTTGTTAAGGTCATGACTGTGGTTACCTTATATGGACAATGTATTGCCTTTTCAGGGCTCAGAGTAACTCTCCATGTGACATTCCTGCATATGATCTTATCTATTCCAAACTCTTTCAAAACATCTATGTTTAATTTACCCACTGAGTGCTTTGTGATGGATAAAATTTGGGAAATCAAGAAGGTTTCCACAGGCACTTAAATTAATTTTGGTCAGTAGGATCCACTGATATGTTCAACATTTTAATTATTTCATAATTGCATTTCAAACACAATTTTATATTTTTCTACAGTTAGCATAACTGTGTTGTTTTTCCTCTTCTTTCCAGACGGAATTTAAACCACCTTCCTTTGATTTACCAAACCTGACTTATGATGGAAATGGAGGAGAACTGTACTGCTGTGACTGAGTTCATTCTCCTTGGATTATCAGATGCACCTGAGTTGAGGGTTTTTCTTCCTCTGCTGTTCCTTTTCATCTATGGATGTACAGTCTTGGGCAATCTGGGCATGATTGCATTAATTCGAGTGAGCTCTCGACTTCACACCCCCATGTACTTTTTCCTCAGTCACTTGTCCTTTGTGGATTTTTGCTACTCCACAATAATTGTGCCAAAGATGCTGGCTAGTATCTTAAGCAAGGAAAAGGCTATCTCCTTCCCGGGATGCATGGTGCAATTTTATTTGTTTTGTACATTTGCAATCACTGAGGTCTTTCTGTTGTCCGTAATGGCTTATGACCGCTTCTTGGCCATCTGCAGCCCATTGCTATACATGGTCTCCATGTCCCAGAAACTCTCTGTGGGGCTAGCTTCTGGCTGCTACCTTTATGGGAATATTTGTTCTCTGATACACTTGTGTTTAGCTCTTAAGATCCCATCCTATAGGTCAAATGTAATTAACCACTTCTTTTGTGATCTACC